AAAAAATACACTTATTTGTTTTTAAATATGTCCTTATTATTCATTTAATGTTAAACAATGACCGTTAACTATTGTATAGCCAAACAGTTATATTTATCGAATCCGTTATTTACCATCCGCTACCCACTTTCCGCTATCTGCCATCCGCTATCCGCTAACCATCACCCGCTACCCGCTACCGCTATCCACTACTTGCTATCCCCTATCTGCTGAATTTTAATCATTGTACCAAACAGGCCCTAGAACTCTAATTTTTCTTAGGAGTTAAATTAATATGCACTATCGTCATATATATATACACACACACACACACATACACATATATATATAGAGAGAGAGATTAATGCTTAATGGCCTTACCTTTTAAAAATTAGGATGAAAATTGCCTTAAGACTACATCATTTTGATAAATTATCACAAAAAAAAGTATAATTCATGTTTTGAAAATATGGTATTTTAGTTTTTTCCAATAAGAGTTTATTGAATTGATGTAAATTTAAAATAATATAATTTTAAAATAATTTTTTTTCTAAATTTTTAGAGGTAAGGTAAATGGACACTTTTCTCATATATATATATATATATATATACATATATAGGGGAAATTGCAATTTAACTACTTGTAGTTTGAGGTATAAAGACTTAGGGTTTTAAAATGTACATATAATATACTTGTGATTTTGGGTATGTGCAGATAAAGACTCAAAATATCAAAATGTGCGCTTAAACACTTGAGGCTTGCAGTTGGTGCAAATAATCAATTGAAATTTCTTAAAAACCCTTAACTTAAAAGAATGAAAAGTAAAGAAAAATTAGGGTATTTTAGACAATATATGTAATTTCAAGTGGTTATATACATCTAATATAAACCTTCGATCCTTCTTTGCACATATTGAAATCTTATGTCTTTATATGCACCTACCTCAAATCACAAGTATGTTATATGCATATTTTAAAATTTCAAATCTTTTTATGCAATAATTTTAAACCACAAGTAGTTAAATTATAATTTCTCCATATATATATATGGCCACACACACAAACAAACAAAGATGACATGAGAAAGTAATAGTGAAATAAGTATAAAAAGTAATGAAAGTCTAAAATAATGTGAGAAAATATCAATTTAAAAAGAGAAACGAGAAGAGATATATGCATTAAGTTAAGCTAGAATTAAAATGTATAACAATAATATAAGTATTTGATGATGGAATAAACCAAAAAATTAAAGGTACTTTATAGAAATATATATAGTAATAAATTACAAAAATTTGTCCTTTTTTAATTAAATTGATTAAATTTTTACACTAAAACATTTTTTCATGCATGTTATTTAAACTTTTTTAATTAATACATTTAAAATGACCAATTATGAAAAAATACTTTAAAATATATTTATAATTAATTATTATTATAAAATTTTATAATTATTAAAAATCTTTAAAGGAAAAAAAAGAGACTAACCGTGTAAAGCATGGCTTGAGATTTAGTTTCAGTTATTGTGTTATTTTTCGGAGTCAATAGTCTAGTTTCCTGTTCAACATTCTGATGAGCAGACATGATTTCCACAACCTTTACCACCTCTAGCCAAAACCAAAAACCAAAAACTTACCACAACAGAGTATCAAGTCCATAATTAATAATTTAATATCTGGTAAAACTTGTCAACAAGTTTAGT